GAATCGATATTTCACCCTAGAGAATCGAGATCGAATCTTTTTCTGTTTTATTAAGATTTGCAAAATTATTTACAATTGGTTGAATGTACCCCAACTCGTAAAGAATGACAGTTTTTAATTTAATTATTCAATGTTATCTGTACTTTATTGTATCTTTTGATATCGTAAATATAAACTTTTAACGCAAATAAAAAAAAAACGATTTTTGCGAAATCGATCTTTAAGATTTCGATTTTTTGTGAATCGATTCATCTAATTTCGATTTGAATCGATTTAAAAATATGTAAAATTAAATCGCTATGCCGGCCATTTTGTTGACAGCTTTTCGTCATGGTGTTGCTTCCGAGTTTCAGAATTTTGGTGAATAGTGAAATATTTGTGGCGGCGGAATACTGCTAAATATCGCAAAGATCTTTTCTTACAAATGGTGGCAGCCATAAATTATGTTTATAAATTAAAGTAGTTACGAAAGTTAATAATTTGGTGTTATATCGAGTGCAATAGCGAGCGAAGCGAGCCTGGGACGTGGAGCACCCCGACTCGGACAGGTTAGGTTAGAGCTCTTCGTGGTTATTTTTTTGTAAACCACTCAGAAGTAGGAGCCCCGCGAAGCGGGGCTCCGTCGACCGGACGTCCCTCGACTGCACCACGTTAAGTGTCGTGGGGCTTCCATCCTCCAACTCTCTCTACCCATAAATCAGGTTAAAATTGTCATAAAAATTACGAAACATAACCTCAAAATGAGATTTTTAAAAATAAATAAAAAAAAAAAACTAAGCACGTCCGGCAGAAAGTGGAAGTAGGGGGGTGACTATACAACTCCTCCCCCCTCCCCCCACGCCACCCCTCACCCACAAATTCAGGCGACCGAATTGTAAACCTTACCCATGAGATAGAGCGGTGTGATTGTTTGTCCCTTTCTCCGTGCCAGTTTTTTTGTTTAGCAAACTACACTTTGCTAAACAACTTTGACAGTTCGTAGCGATCTAAGGAGTTTACAAGTTGGTTTAAGTGAGAAAAAAGTGTTTTGTGAGCTTAAGATTGGTGAATCTTGTTCAGTTCAGTTCTTAGAACAATTAAAATTTTTATCTAAATATGTTTAAAAGTCATAAAGATTATCGTATAACCTAAAACTACGTTATCGTCCTTTCTCAGTCGAGGCCACGCTAATCATTCAAACGTTTCAAGGAGTGCTTCTATATTCGGCTGAATTATATCTGCCATGTTTTATTTACTTCAACTTGTTGACATTAGCGTACTTTTTCTTTGTTATTAAGGTTCATGTCATGGAGTGTAGAGGTAAGGACAACTATCACATAGGAGAATAGTTGAAAAAGTGTCCATCTGTAACGTATACAGAGAAACCTATAGACAAATTGACGCCTTCTTTCGCATTCGCACACGAAAAAGATAGATTTATGAATACGTCTTGCATAGAAATAAGACAGAGCGGTGTGATTGTTTATCCCTTTCTCCGAGCCAGTTTTTTTGTTTAGCAAACTACACTTTGCTAAACAACTTTGACAGTTCGTAGTGATCTAAGGAGTTTACAAGTTGGTTTAAGTGAGAAAAAGTATTTTGTGAGCTTAGGATTAGTGAATATTGTTCAGTTCAGTTCTTAGAATTATTAATTTTTTTATTTAAATATGTTTACAAGTCATAAAGATTATTGTGTAACCTAAAACTATGTTACCGTCCTTTCTCAGTCGAGGCCACGCTAATCATTAGTCTATAGTTTTCTCTAAGTGATTTTGAAAACAATAAAATAATTGATTAAAACTACTTTTACGGATTTTATCACGTTTAATTTTACTTTTAATTATTTTTATTTTTAATGCCCGACGTTTCGGAAGAAAAGAGGTTTAAAAAGCTGAAGGTACTCCGGGTTTAACAATGACATCGGTACGTCAGTCACCTCAGTCCCCCATGACCATGGGTGCTGGAAAGCACCCGAAACGTCGGGAATTAAAAATAAAAATAATTAAAAGTAAAATAATTAAAAGTAAAATAAGTAAAATTAAACGCGATAAAATCCGTAAAACTAGTTATAATCAATGTGTAGTGTTCGCGTAAATACAAGAAATCATTAAATAAAATAATTATTATAAAAAGAATTATGGTGAAAGTGTGTGCAATAAAAAGTTATAAAAAGTTCTTAAAAATTTACCCTCTAGCTACATTGGCGCCACCCTTATTTAGCGCTTTCCTACGGACACTTTTAAATACAGAGGACACGGTTCTCTTTACCTCTACACTCCATGGTACGTGCATTCTATCTTGGACGGGCTGAAGTTGGCTATCCGAGACATTCGCGCATGTACTCTGGGTGCGTTTGGCAGAAAAAAGCGCTAGCAAGCGCTTGTAAGCAAAATGGCGATCGTAAGCGGTAAGCGCTGTCAAATCGTAATCAGCTATTTTCCACCAGGACACGATGTCAGTTTTAACCGGGGAACTTAACCTAATTTAAACATATGTTTGTAAAGTATTCATATTAAAAACTTAGCAATCATGAATTTTTAGTAATATGTATATGTTTATTCATGTCATTATATTACTTAAAACTAATATTGCACAAAACAACTTATAAACTCAACTTCAAAACAAACAAATTAATAAGCAAAATGGCGGATTGTGTCAGCGCTACTGAAGTAGCAATCGTGTCCTGGCCGAAAACTATTTCAGCGCTTGTAAGCGCTTGCTAGCGCTTTTTTCTGCCAAACGCACCCACTGTCTACCCGTACTGTTAAAGAGTGGAATTAAAAATGGCTTCGCCTCTTTTCACCTCTCGCTCGCACACTGTTGCTTTCTATACTCACATCCACCGGTAAAGACTGCAATATTTCTATATAAGAAAAAATAGTATTGTATAAATAAAAGACTACAAGAAAAAATACGTTGTGATATGTGTTTTTCGCAAATTCTATATCTTTAGTCCAACTTGTCATTGGAATCAATGATATCACAATGCCATAAACTACAGAAAAATCAGTCTGGTTTTGCTAATTTGTGAGCTCTGACGCGTTCTGAGAGTTTTTTGATGATTACCTTTAATGATTACCTTAAGTTTAAGTCGTCAATTAGATTCCACCCAGGCGAAGCCGGAGCGTGCCGCTAGTTATTAATGTGATTTTAAAATTAATGTACCTACTTGCTTATAAAATTATTTTAGGTCTTTACTTATGAAATTGCCATTTTTATGAAATAAATTAACGTAATTCTTTTCTGTATATTTTATTTCTATTAATCAAAGTAATCACCCATAAGTTAGCGTATTTTTTATATTTTTTATTTCTATTGTTACGAGCTTGGGACACAAGACCTGGTGTCTATATGGTGTGAATACAGAGACAAAGTCAAAACAAAAAAAATAGCAATTTCAAGAACGAACGAACAGCCAATTAAAATTAGGAGAAAATAAAATATATGTAACATATATTCTTACAATTAGTGCCTCAAGGTGATGCCAAAAGATAGGAACCAATTCAGTATGATATCAAATTGAACCCAACGCTGATTTTCAGTTGGCCCCCTGGATTGCATTCGTCCTCACCTCGGAAATCAGTTACCTTGTGCTTCCGTAAGAACAATCAGTATACGTGAACTCTATGAAAAAAACATTTATATAATTACTTATATAATAAATGATTAATAAAATAGTTATATAATATATAACAGGATACAAATTAAATACTTAATTATTTACAAGATACAGTGCGTGAAACTGTACCAAAACTATAACATCAACAAAAAATAAATAAAACATAAAGTGTACCTCTCAAATTACCATCAAATATAGGACATGTTAGTGTTAGCGTTAACCATGCCTAGATCTTTTTGTGCATTTAACAAGTACTGTTTTATGTTACTTTTAAAACTAGTAATAGAGTTTAGCTGCCCAAGAGGTGGTGGTATGTTATTCCATATTGTCGAACCTTCATAGCGAAATGGTCCCTTGAAGGATGCCGACTTATGCTTTTGTACAGAAACTTGTTGCGAGCATTATCTTATATTGCCTCCTTGTAGCAACCCAGGCGTGTTTATTGTACATGTAAGACGGTGCCTAATGTTTTATGACGCCAAAAAGCAAGCACGCTAGATGCAATTTCTGTATCGACTTCATTTTAGGTATGGAGTGATCACTGAAAAACGGAGTGACGTGCCCCCGAAAAGGAATTGGGAAACGAAAACCAAGCCACTCCATTTTGGCCAGTAATCCGGCTCCGACAAATATGGCCTAATTTTATATAATACTTTGAGCCGGTAGAAGCAATTTTTGATAGCTTCGGCAACATGTTCCCCAAACCGTAAGCCCTCATCAATATTTATACTTAAGTTCCGTATTATGTTTAACCTTTTTACTTTCTTTCCCTTCAGTACAATGCCTAAATCTTCCGGTAATATCTTTAAATGATTCTTTGTCCTAAATATTGTTACGCGCCTTAGTCGACGGCACTAGCGCCATCTAGTCTCGAACCGAAGAACTAAACTTCTAGAAGTTGAAACTCGAACTCTCGGAACCTTGCGCGCGTTTACTTGAATATTCTGGATATTTTGGTGCTAATTTATATTTATAGGCGCTGCAAGATGCGATCGGGGAAGTATTGAATTTGGCGAGACAAGCGAAGCTTCGGAGCGAAATAAAGTGAATCAGTGTAGTTACTTATAGTCTAGTCTCTAGTCTCGAACCGAAGAACTAAACTTCTAGAAGTTGAAACTCGAACTCTCGGAACCTTGCGCGCGTTTACTTGAATATTCTGGATATTTCGGTGCTAATTTATATTTATAGGCGCTGCAAGATGCGATCGGGGAAGTATTGAATTTGGCGAGACAAGCGAAGCTTCGGAGCGAAATAAAGTGAATCAGTGTAGTTAATTATTAGTGTTTTTAACTTTAATTAGTGTAAAGTGAATTAAAGTGTTAATTTAGGTAATTCTATTGGCAATTTTTATTGTCACGAACCTCAAGCTCGTAACAATTGGTGTCAGAAGTGGGATAAAATCATGCCGATTTTACCTAAGGAGGAAACTGAGGGTGTCCGTACCCGCAGTCAACGCCAGCATGAGACGGACCAGGGGAGATTTTGTGGTGCAACGCCGCAGACGTTGGAGGGCCAACTGCCAGCCACGGAGGCTGCGGGCCCGTCATTAGCTCCTACATCTGCAGCACCTGACTTAGGTGCTCTGATGGCGATGCTACAGGAGCAGCTGCAGCGCTGACGAGAGGAACAGGCCCGTCTGTTGAAAGAGCAGCAGGAGGAACAGGTTCGTCGACAGGAGGAACAGGTCCGTCGGTTGGAAGAGCAGCTGCGGGACGGACAGGAAGAACAGGCCCGTCTCTTAGAAGCGCAGCTCAAACGTGATAGGGAACAGCAGATGCTTCTCATGAAGGACCTTCACGCTACCTTCAGGAAAGAGATAAGGGAGGTGCAGGATAAGGTTGCTCAATATGATAACCGCCTGTCGGAAGCCGAGACCCAAATCAACCAAGTTAAGAAAACGCTGGATGAACTCAAACTTGGGGATGGAACTACAGCTCCCGTAGTAGCTACCACACCTTCGCTACGTGAGTTCAAGGTGCCACCGTTCGACGGGACTTCTTCCTGGTCAGCCTACAAAATCCAGTTCGAGGCTGTTATGAAGGCGAACGGCTGGAATAAAAGTCAGGCCATGACTGCTGTCACACTAGGCCTGCGCGACCAGGCCTTAACAGTTCTGGAAGCTCTCGGTGAGGAAGTGACTTATGAGCAGCTCCTTGAGGCATTGGAGGCGAGATATGGCGACGCTCACCTGAAACACGTCTTTCGGGCGCAGCTTAAACATCGCGTGCAGCACATCAACGAAAACATGCAGCAGTGGGCTCTAGAGGTGGAGAAGCTGGTGCGAAAAGCATACCGGTCTGTACCTGCGCTCATTGAAGGGAACCTGGTGCATACATTCATCGACGGCATCCGCGACCTTGAGGTCAGAGCTGCTGTGAGGCTCGGGCACCACGAGACGCTTAAGGACGCCTTGGCCCATGCACTGGAGGTAGAAGCCGTGCGGCAGGATCATCGTTCCCATCGCGTCAGGGAGATCGCAGCAGCTACAGTTCGCGACCACAACAAAGGATTCAGCCCTAGGTGCTATGGCTGTGGGGAAAAGGGCCATCCATGATCCAGCTGCCCTAAGCGAACTGTAGAAAGGGAAGTTGATCGATCTCGAGAGGGTAGTGCAGCTAACGGCACCGCCTGGCGGTGGCTGCAACATCATTCCCCTCACGCTAGGAAGGTTGCAGCAGTTCGCGACCACAATAAAGGATACAGCCCTAGGTGCTATGGCTGTGGGGAAAGGGGCCATCTTCGATCCAGCTGCCCTAAGCGAACCCTAGAAAGGGAAGGTGAACGATCTCAGAAGGGAAGTGCGGCTAACATCACCACCCAGCAGCAGCCGGGATACGACTTTACTATCAGACATCACAGCGGGAAATCTCATGGCAACGCAGATGCATTATCACGAAGACCTTGTCCTGAAGATTGCAAACATTGTACTAGGCAGGAGAGTAAGGAAGTGGTATCCGTGAGGATGCTCAGGACAGACCACCTCAGCAACGAGTGGAAGGACAGCTTACAACATGCACAGCAGGAAGATCCGGACATCAAGCCGATTCTGGAATGGATGAAGGCCAGTGCTCCCAAGCCCAAGTGGAGCGACGTCTCAGCGATGAGTTCGACCACTAAAAGCTATTGGGCCTAATGGGACAGCTTGCTGCTTCAGGATGGAGTTCTGTGCCGTAAATGGGAAAAGGTTCGGGGAGACAGCTATCACTTGCAAATGGTTGTCCCTAAAGCTAAAGTACCGGATGTTCTACAGCTGTACCAAAACTTACCCATAACTCGGTACTCATAAAACAAGAACGACTTCTTATCACCCGCAATCTGATGGAATGGTAGAACGATTTAATCAGACATTGGAGAGGTACCTAGCAAAAGTTGTAGACAATCGGCAACGAAATTGGGACAAGCACATACAACCGTTTTTGTTGTCATATCGAAGCGCTGTTCACGAAAGTACAGCAGTGACACCAGCTTTCGCAAACTTTGGAAGAAAATTACGGCTGCCTGCAGACCTGATCACAGGGATACCACCTGATGCTCCACGTAGTATATCCGATTATGCAAATGACTTGCGGAACAAAATGAATGACATTTATGAGCACGTCAGACAATCGGGCCAGCAAATGTCTGAAAAGATGAAAACCCGGTACGACCGCAAAATGAACAACAAAGGGTTCGACGGAGGTTCACTAGTGTGGTTGCATAATCCCGTCCGTAGCAAAGGGAAATCTCCTAAGCTTCAAGCTAAATGGGACGGCCCGTACCGGATTGTGACCAGGATCAACGACTTAACGTACCGGATACAGAAAGGCGCAAGAGGGACTCCTAAGATCGTCCATGTGGATCGACTGGCGTGTTATTATGGGGCCGATAATGCTCGGGACGAGCATGTCTTAGGAGGGGGCAGTGTTACGCGCCTTAGTCGACGGCACTAGCGCCATCTAGTCTCGAACCGAAAAACTAAACTTCTAGAAGTTGAAACTCGAACTCTCGGTACCTTGCGCGTGTTTACTTGAATATTCTGGATATTTCGGTGCTAATTTATATTTATAGGCGCTGCAAGATGCGATTCGGAGCGAAATAAAGTGAATCAGTGTAGTTACTTATTAGTGTTTTTAATTTTAATTAGTGTAAAGTGAATTAAAGTGTTAATTTAGGTAATTCTATCGACAATTTTTATTGTCACGAACCTCAAGCTCGTAACAATATCATATAATTAGTTTTATCAGGGTTCAGTAGCAGAAAGTTATGCTCAGACCACACAGCGACACCTTCTAAATCGTCATTTAGATCCTTAACAGTTGTTTCCCATTGACTGGGTTTGAACGAGATGTAAAGTTGTGTGTCGTCTGCATACATATGATATTGGCATTTTTCAATTTTTTGGTAAATCCGCACAATATAAGTTAAAAATAATAGGGCCTATAATAGAACCTTGTGATACTCCTCAGGTACTGGGAATTCGAATCCACAGAGGTTTCATTCCCACAATACAAACTGACCATTTGCTTTCGATCGGATAAATAACTATTGAACCAGGACAACGCACTACTTCCGAAACCATAAAAACTCATTTTTGACAGTAATAAATGTATATTTATGGCATCAAAGGCACGAGAGTAATAACAGGCTAATAGCACATGCCCTCGTCCTGGACTGACAGGATATTATCCACTACATCAATCAGAGCTGTAGTGGTACTACGTCTCTTACGAAATCCAGACTGCAATTGAGGAAGAATGTGATTTTTCTCAAGATATTCAGTGAGCTGCTGGTGGATATTTTCTTCTAAAACTTTTGAGAGGCATGGTAAGATGCTAATAGGACGTATGTCTTTTGAGGTCAAGGGTCCAAAGTGTGTAGGATTTTTACCACGTATTCCCATATTTGCAGGATTGTCAGCTTTAGGATCATTAGCTGGTGGAGCAGCGGGTATAGCAAAAGCCAGTAGTGATTCAAAAGCAGCACAAAAGAGTCTTCAGGAATCTGAAAGACACAACAGAATTATGGAAGCCGTTGCTCTAGGAAAAGGATTATACATTAAAACTCATAAACAAGGAACAGGTTTATATCTGAACCCCTCAAAAAACTAATTAGACGGCTACTCAGACGGGCGCTCACTAATCCAGACATGCAAGCATGTAGTTTAAATTAAAAGATGAAGTGTTTATTTACATATATTTTATTGCAAATCAAACAATCACTTTGTTTTTAAAACACCATTTCTTAATACATAAAACATATTTTTTAGGTTCTGAACCCGAATCCAACCAACTTGCTGAGCGCTTGCGATTGTCAAACAGAATCCATTTTTCGTCACAGGTAACACTGTGGTTCAAAATTCCTTCGTTTGTGTGCCCGTTGAACAGTACAGGGCACGTCTCGATGTGTACTTTGCGCTGGTGATCACTGAATTCGTGGGGTACCCATATGTCAAACTTTTTTACCTTGCCAATTTGACGAAAATAGACCAATTATGTTTTAATGCTAACGTCGAAAACTGCTTCTCATTCATCCGTATATTGAGTATCATCGGCTACCATAATCGCCTTTAATTCGCCACTGTTGAAAAAAGTTTTCGGACGACCACGGGGTTCATTTTTCAGGTCGAAATTTCCAGAACGGAAGCGGGCTACCCAATAACAGGTTGTGCGTTCATTTGTAGAATTCACTCCATAAATGTTGTTGATGTTGCGTGCCATTTGTGCCGCGTTGCTGCCACGATGGTACTCATATTTTATAATTACTCGAATTTTAACGTATCCCATGATCACGAAAAAGATTCAAAGGCGAAAAAAACATAATATCAATATTATATTATAACTTATCAATAAACATGTGACTAAATGTGAACTCCATGTTTCTAAAATAAAATTAATTTGAAATTATAATTCTTAGCCAAACAATAATTATATAGATTTGAAATGCCATTACTGCAAGATGGCAATTTCATACGTAAATACCTATTATTTTCCCATTAGTAGAAAATTTCCAATTAACTTAATAAATATAACATTATAACGATATACCGTTATTAGCAGGTTTTCGCTATCTGTACGTAATTAATTAACAGACGCTAGTCGATAGAGATGTGCCATTTCATATTCGCTCCTAATATTGCTTAGGTAAAAAATGTTTTCAACGATTAAAGAATAAATTAAAAACTATTATTATAATGAAATAGAAATGATAAAAAATATCTTTATGTAATTCAATAAAACAATAGTATCTAAAAAAGAAATACGATAAACACTTTGAAGAAATATAAATACACGATATTAGCGGGGACAACAAATTCTTTCAGTTACCCCAAAGCAATTTATAACTAAGTTTTTCGATAAAAAATTTAATGCACATATTCATAAAAGAGAATAACATTGTTGTTAAATAGTCTTATTTATACGCACAGCAAGGCGGACAATTCCTTGCCCTAAAACCCTCTCAGAAATGAGAGGCCTGTATCCAGCAGTGTGACGTATTTAAGCATAACTTTAAAACTTTTTTTTGGACGTTAGGGAGGTTAAAATAGGACTGGCAGAGAATGCTTTTAGGCATTAAGTCCGCCCTTAGTACACTTTTTTCCTAAGGAAATGTATTAAAGAATTTGAAATAAAATTAATAACC